ATTGTGAAAATCCTAAGGTTACTTCTGAACCACTCCTTGAGCACTTTGAGATACCACCGGCCAAGTGAAAACACCACCGGTCATGGAAATATAGTCATCAACCAAAAATGGGCTCACCGGCTGGATATTGGTAGTCGGCCGGCACTGAAAGTGGCTGGCCGGCCATTTATTCTTGCAGAACACTGGTTTTGCTGCAACAAAGGACAGACAGTGCATGGCATGGAATTTACAAGCCAAATGTATTCACGACCACCCTCTTTATCATACTAAGAATTCAAGGGAGTATGGCTCCCGACCCTCGGGCCACCAATCACGCATTTTGATGCATGATGGCCAAAGGTGTCAAAAGTGCAAATCAATATGAATGAATGCAACAAAACAAATGAATGCTACACACTCTATCATGTTGAATCAAGAGTGTGGGCGACCGAGGATTAAGGTACGTTTCGTCACTTCAAGTACGAACGTCCTTCATTCCTCATGTTTGGTTTGACACCCCAAACCAAACACAATGCAATGCATGCAAGTATGCCAAATATAGTGCAATGCATGCAAACAATGCAACATGAGCATGCCAACTCAAAGTAATGCAATGTAGCATGAATATGCCAAGTGCAACATGGCTCAAGCATGCACACAAAGGCTAAAGTAGCAAGCATGCCAAATGCAAAGCAACCTACACAAGCATGTGACAAAAGGTAAACTATCAAGTATGCAACAAGATGTACCATGTTAAGCATCCAGCTATATACAAAGATGGACTTAGACCATAGTGAGAAGACCTCAGCCACGTCCAAAACAATAGCCAAAGTGATGAATTAAGGCGCCGAAAGGGGAAAACACGCATGTTCACACATTGATCCATAAACTATGCAACAATGCACAATCCTCAAATATGAGTGAGATGTGATAAACATGAGAGTATGACAATGCAATAGGCTTTGAAATCATGTTAAGAGTGGTGCCAAATCAACTAAACAAGACAAGCATGGCATGCTAATGGACTTAAAGCTCAAAGCTAGCCAAAGGACTTGAACCATGGCCATATCAACCAAGCCCCAAAGGACCAAGGTGACCCAAAACAGTCCCATGACAGGCCAAACTAATGCTAGAACATGCATGGGATGAGGCCAAAACATGCTAGGAAATGGGCGCAAAAATGAGGGGCATTCAAAGCCACAAACAGAGCACTCCACTACAACTACCTCAACCATACATGGCATGGATTATTCAAAGAAAAATAGAGCTATAATATGCCAAGAGGAGCCCCAAAACCCATTGATATGGCAACCCAAGGACTTAAACAAAGAGGCATGTACGATGACCTATTTTAAGGCACAAAAGAACAACTCTTCAAAGCTTTGAAAGGATGGTAAATGCAAGCATACAAGCATAGAGCCTTCACTTTGAGGAATTCAAGACTTGAGATAGGAATTCACCCTACTAATTATGGAATTGATTTGTTAATGTAAGAATTCTAGTGAATTAAAGGGACTCGTGTTAGGTTTAGGATAAGATTGGTGAATTGAAGCTCAATACATACATGCATATGTATTTTATAGCACTTGAGTTGTCCTTCTAAGGAATCCATGCATGCATGCACAAATTTCCATGTTTTGAGTTGGAATTCTAAGATTTCTTCCATGCATGTGTCAATTTCACTCATATTATAGCCATTCAACTTATTTTCCATCAAATTATTAAGTTTGGTTATGTTTTGGAAGGTTTGAATTCAAAGAGGTTCTTGCATGTTGAATTAATAGCATGTTCATAAAGTTCATGTTGATTTTGCACAAATTGGTTTACTCTTGGGCCATGATTTCTTGAATTGAAGCTTTAAACATGTTGTTTTATGGGTTACCAAGTGTTTTCCAAAGTTTTGGCCCAGGAAAATGAGTTTTGGATGGTTGAATGTTGAATTTCATGTTTGGAGGTCAATCTGGATTTTCCAGAAATTTGACCCACGCTCGAGCGTGAAGCCTGAGTACATGCACTTCCGCTCGAGCGGCAAGAGTCATGCTCGAGCGTGAAATGCGTATACCCAAAAGTTTGTGTGTTTTGCAGTACGCTCGAGCGGGGTAATCCACGCTCGAGCGAGGGTCTGTGTCACACACTTGAGCGGGGGTCGAGTGCTCGTCGAGCGTGAATTTCTTACATCTAGTACTTTTCCATAGTTTACATAGGTATTCCTAGGCCATGTTTAAGACTCTATAGTGAGGATTTAAGGTTAGAAACACACTAAGAACCAACGACGTAAGTTTTGTGCAATTAGAATGTGTGTTTCAAGTGTGTGTCTGTTATGTGTTATGTAGGTCACGTGCCGCGTGTCGTGTGATCAATCTGCTCCGTCTGTCTGTTTCAAGGCCAACTGTGAGTAATAATTTAGTAAAGTTATGTTCAAACTGTATCTACTTTCTGTGTGATAAAACAAGATCTGTTTTTCGAAATGATATGTTCTGTACAATGAATGATTGTTCAATTTCTGATATGTATTCGTGACATCCTTAGCATGATGTGATATCTGTTAGCTGTTACCCGGTATCAGAGGTTCCTTTACGGAATTTATTTCTGTCTACACTCTGTTACCCGTACCAGAGGCCTTGTTACGGGGGCTCAGCTTCTGTTCTATTCTGTTACCCGGATCCGGAGGTTCCTTTATGGAACTGGTTATTCGTAACCTCACATGTATATGTTCTATTCTGTTTATGCTAGTGGATGTATCACGTAAACGTAATCATGACTTATGATTTTTGTCTGTATATGATCTGGACAAACTATGATTTTGATATGAACTGAATTATGATTTCTGAATCTGTACAAACTCATTCATTGAAACCCTTTACTCTCTTATTATTCATTGGGCTTTCGCTCACAGTTTATATTATGTATGTAGGTGAGCCAGTGTGTGACCAGGGCCAGAGTTGACGGCCTTCTGTTCTGTTTTGTCAGCCAACTGTTGTGCCTCCCGAGGAGGTTCCGGTCGAAGTCTAATGCTATGGCTGTTTTTGTATTCATGCTAGTCTCTGTATGTGTTTTGTAAAGACAGGTCTTGGGATGTAATACTTTGTAAATATTGGTGTCCTTTGACTGCCATGCTTATGTATATATATATATATATATATAAGTTTTGAAATGTTCCGTCCCATGTACGTTATCACAGCTCATTGGACCTTGTCTATTTTGTATTATTGCTTCCGCAGCCCCTTATTATTTGCTAATATGTTCAGAGGTCTTCGGTAATCCACGGATTACTGGCCGGTTACGATGCTAAACCTACATGGGCGGGTTTGGGTCGTGACAGTTGTCCACCATCAGTGCTTTACGGTGCTAAACCTACAGGGGTGGGTTTGGGTCATGACAGGGACTAAAGTGACACAAGTCCTAAACTATAGGGATTGTTAGTATAATTTGCCCTTAAAAAGAGTGTTGCTATTAGCACCTATCAAAATTCTTTGGACCCCCCATTTCTTTGGACCCCAACCCTCAACCCTAAACCCTAAATTTTAATAATATTTTTTGGACACCCCACTTATTACCAAATCTAACCATATTTATAATATTTTCACAATGAAATGCACACCCACCTAATTTTTCATCCCTCTCCTTCTCTGACTCATTCAATCTTCAAAGTTTGGAGCTTTGGTCTAGTATAGAATTCTTGGACGCCAACCCTCCATCACTCTCGTCGCCGTCTCGGCCGTCAACGGAGCATTCCGACGACTCTCATCTTCTCTGAACGCTCTCCGTATCACCAAATCAGTAACCTCTCTCATCCTCTTCTTCGTTGCTTTTTGTATCTTTGTCATCGCTAAGATCGATCGAAGATACTCAAATTTCTACGAGATTTGCATAACCGTTTGCAAGATGAGGAAAAACAGAATCATCGTCTGAATCGCCATCAGAATCATCGTCTGAATCGCCATCAGAATTCTGAATGTAGCCCAAAACAATTTGTTCACCACTGTGTAGTCGAAAAAATGTATTTTGTTCAGAACTGTTTTGTCAAACAATAATGATCCTGTCAACACTGTATGTCCGAACAAAATTTGTTCATCACTGTGTAACTTGAATCCATTCCAATTCACAACTTAAAATAACATGAATTAAATCCATTCAAAATATATAACTTAAATCCATTCAAATTTCCTGTTTTCCATTCTAAGTTAGTTTAATAAATAAAATTGCATAACTGACTATCTGCATTAATGTTCGAAATCTATGTATTGAATGAAAGGATTATGTTCAGTACTGTATTACCGAACATAATTCTAACAGTCAGCAAACCAGTACCGAACAGCTCGAACGAAACAAGAACGATCGAAAACGATCGAAAATGACCGAGAATGTTAATACAAGACAGATAAATTTATTAATGGAACGCCGGTCACACTAAAATTGTTGTTATCGACCTCCATTGCTCTACACAGTGAAATAAGTGATGAAATATACGTTATACTTGAAGCAAAACTTTCAAATTCAATAGCGTTGATGATGGTGATGAAGATGACGCATTCAGGATTTAAGATGATTATGAAAAATAATAGATTTAGGGTTTATATTAGTTGGTTATGAAAAGTAATAGGTTTAGGGTTTACAAACATGGAATACGTATAGTTGGAGTTGGAGGTGGAGGTGGGGGTGGGTGTCCAATATTATAGAATATTAATTCTTATTGATAGGTGAGTGTTCCATTAAATAATATCTTTTAATGTAATTTTACTTTAAGGTATAATTGTAATAAAAAAAATTATAAAATGAGAAATTCAAAGAATTTTAATAGGTGCTAATAGCAGCACTCCTTAAAAAATTTATTATATATTTTTATGACTAAAATAACCCTAAATCTATCGAACTCATCCTTCCCAAACGAGACCTTATATAAGAAACTAAAGGACAATAAGAATATTTTTAAAAATAATTAACTTGAGATTTAATAATATTTTTATTTTATTATATTTATTTTTTGAAAAAAAATGAACTACTGACAAGAGGAGGGACAACCATCAAACTGACCAATTGCGTAGTCAGCATCCAACTCATTGCATGTGCACCGCAACGCACTCTCTCTCTTTCTCCAAACTGTCTCTTTCATATCTTCGATCCTTCTTGCAGATTCCGATATATGTTTGACTAACCCTAATTCACTCAATTTAGTGCATTCAATTCGACTCCCAATCGAATTGTCCACTGAATTAGGGTTTGGGACTGTGATTTAGAGACAGAGAGAGAATGGATGATCAGTTGGAGAGGTTGGGATCGGATGGGGCGGCGGGGCCGGAGGAGGCGAGTATGAAGGAGGAGCTGTGTATGGAGATTGATCCACCGTTCAAAGAAAACCTTGCCACCGCCGATGACTGGAGGAAAGCGCTCAATAAGGTGGTTCCGGCGGTGGTGGTGCTTCGGACCACCGCTTGTCGGGCGTTCGATACCGAATCGGCCGGTGCGAGCTACGCAACGGGGTTTGTTGTTGATAAGCGGCGAGGGATTATACTGACGAATCGTCATGTTGTGAAGCCTGGTAGTAGTTCATTGTGTTTTTTTCACTTGAGAAAATGTGGGAAAAGAAATAAAGAAAAGGAAAATTATTAATTTTGATTTTGTTTGTTCTGTTTTTGAGGTTTGTGAACACAATCTCCAATCTTTGCTCCTTTTTTTCCCATCAAATTTGAGTGAAAATTTGGTTAAAAACTTGATTTTTTATGGAACACTCCAATTATTACTTTTTTTCATCAAAAGTTTTTGAAAATTCCAAATTTATCTTAAAAACCTTGTTTTAAAAAATTTTATGCAAGAAATTCGTCTTGAAGACTTGCTCTTTTTAAAATTTTATCAAATTTGAGTAAAAATATGTGTTGGAAAATTGGTGAAGGATTTGGTTCAACCTTGATTTGGTGAAAATTTTACAAGTTTGATGAACCGATTGGAGATCACTTTTAGCTCTTTATTCATCAAATTTGAAAGACTTGATAAAGGATTGGAGATGCACTACATCAATAGTATACTATGCTTGGTTATCACTTTTCAAAAAATTTTACATTCTTATTTTTCGAATTTTTTTTGTTTTTACTGATTTTTTTTAATATTTTAAGCAATTTTTTTAATTTTTAGACATAACTAACATAAATATACCTAAAAAGTAAAAAAAAATTGAAAAAAATCTTTTAAAAATTCACTAAATATCAAAAATACAAAAAAATACAAGAATTCAGTATATTTTTTTATATTTTTATGTATTTATTAATTTTTAAAAATATTTTTTTACAAATTTTTTACTTTTTAGATACATCTAAGTAAGGTGTATCTAAAAAAAGTAAAAGAAATATTTAAAATTTTAAAAATATTCACTAAAAATAAAAAAAAATACGAAAATCAAAAAATTCAATTTTCAAAAAATTTAATTCAAAAAACTCAAACCAAATGTAACACGAAAAAATTCAAAAATAGTTTTCACTATGATGGGTACATTCTAGTGAAGCACCTAGGGCTTGTTTGATTTGTTTTTGGGAGAGTTATTTTTGAAAAAAAATTTGGGGAGAGAGTTTAAAAATTTTTTTGGTTTGTTTGGTTGTATATTTTGGGAGAGTTATTTTTTTGGGAGTTTGGGATGATTTGATATTTTGAGAGAATTTGAGTAGACGTGTGGGAGAGAAAAAATGATTGAGAATGAGAGAGGAGAGAAAAAAAGTGATTGATTGATGTGTAAGAGAGAGAAAGTGATTTTGAAATTTTTTTGAAAAAAACTTAAACCAAACAATTTTTTAGAAATTTTTTTCTAAAACTCATCTCCCAAATGCAAACCAAACATATCCCTAGTTTCTCTATTTTCTGGTTTTCCTTGTTTAGTTCTAATTGATCTGATTTTATGCTCATAGGACCTGTAGTTGCGGAGGCTATGTTTGTAAACCGTGAAGAAATTCCTGTACATCCTATATACAGAGACCCGGTGAGCGGTTTATATTTGGGGTTAATGAATAGAGATTGTTACTTCTTTTTGTCTTATTGTTTTCTTATTTTCTTATTAATCATAACTTAAGTACATGATTGACTTAAGAAAAGATACCTGGAATCTCTTACATGAAATGAGTTAATTTTCATACTAAACCAAATATTAACTTCCAATAGAATGTCACTACTGCCATTTTAAGTTTGAGCTTGACATGATGCTCTTGTGTGTCGCCAAAGTTATTTGTGTATACAGCTGTATATGGGAGTGAACTAACATATGTGCATTTTCTTATAGGTTCATGATTTTGGCTTCTTTCGCTATGACCCTGGTGCCATACAATTTCTGAGCTACGAGGAGATTCCTCTTGCTCCAGAGGCTGCTTGTGTTGGACTAGAAATCAGGGTGGTTGGTAATGATAGTGGAGAGAAGGTATATAGAATATACTTGTATCTTATGGTATTGTGGTTATGATGCTATTATAAAATTACTGGTCTTGACCTCTTCAGATGTCCAGTCATGTGTGGAATCTTCAAGACATATTCTCATTGTCCTTTCAACAGCATAAAATCAATTTTCTTACAGTCAATATGGGTCCAGGAAAAAAAAATGTTCAGTAGCTTGAAATCCTTCATTTTCTTCTCCAATAATTTCTAGGCCAGTACTCTATGTGAGGTTTGTGGTATATGGATGTATTGCAAGCCCCAACAGATATGTTGGCTAGGGTTTTGGAGAGGGAATTTAATCAACAGATGGAAATTCAATATTAAGTTTTAAATGGTGGCCTTTGTTAAGTGGAGAAAGTATATGAGTTTGTGCTATCTTCTGCAGCAAAGGGAGGTTTGTACATCTTTTTAAAGTGAATAAGCAGATCATAAGTTTATGGCTCCCCTGTTTCGATGACAGGAGTGGATGACTAGGAATGGGTGATTCTTTTTCCTTTATGAGTTGTTTGGAATGAACTTGCCATATCTAAACCTGTAACCTGTCAAAATGGTGGATTGAAGTAGAATTTGAAACATATTCCCATTCCAACTCTTGATTCCATCCATCTAAGTGGGTCTAAGGGTTTTGTTTATGCTATAAAGACGATTGTGAATGAACCCAAACAATATCATGTGCCAATCAGATTTATGTATCTGTGCAAATAAAATACTGGACGACCTACTGTTAGAATTGATGTATAAAGAAATAGAGAATTGTATTATTGATTAATGATTTGTTGAATGTTACAATGATTCTTATATATAGAAGAGTAGGTGGTAGGTGGAGTAGGTGAAGTGGAGGTGGTAGTGGTGTAGTGGGTTAGGTTTAGTGGAGTAGGTGAGGTGGTAGTGGTGTAGTGGGTTAGGTTTAGTGGAGTAGGTGAGGTGGTAGTGGTGTAGTGGGTTAGGTTTAGTGGAGTAGGTGAGGTGGTAGTGGTGTAGTGGGTTAGGTTTAGTGGAGTAGGTGAGGTGGTAGTGGTGTAGTGGGTTAGGTTTAGTGGAGTAGGTGAGGTGGTAGTGGTGTAGTGGGTTAGGTTTAGTGGAGTAGGTGAGGTGGTAGTGGTGTAGTGGGTTAGGTTTAGTGGAGTAGGTGAGGTGGTAGTGGTGTAGTGGGTTAGGTTTAGTGGAGTAGGTGAGGTGGTAGTGGTGTAGTGGGTTAGGTTTAGTGGAGTAGGTGAGGTGGTAGTGGTGTAGTGGGTTAGGTTTAGTGGAGTAGGTGAGGTGGTAGTGGTGTAGTGGGTTAGGTTTAGTGGAGTAGGTGAGGTGGTAGTGGTGTAGTGGGTTAGGTTTAGTGGAGTAGGTGAGGTGGTAGTGGTGTAGTGGGTTAGGTTTAGTGGAGTAGGTGAGGTGGTAGTGGTGTAGTGGGTTAGGTTTAGTGGAGTAGGTGAGGTGGTAGTGGTGTAGTGGGTTAGGTTTAGTGGAGTAGGTGAGGTGGTAGTGGTGTAGTGGGTTAGGTTTAGTGGAGTAGGTGAGGTGGTAGTGGTGTAGTGGGTTAGGTTTAGTGGAGTAGGTGAGGTGGTAGTGGTGTAGTGGGTTAGGTTTAGTGGAGTAGGTGAGGTGGTAGTGGTGTAGTGGGTTAGGTTTAGTGGAGTAGGTGAGGTGGTAGTGGTGTAGTGGGTTAGGTTTAGTGGAGTAGGTGAGGTGGTAGTGGTGTAGTGGGTTAGGTTTAGTGGAGTAGGTGAGGTGGTAGTGGTGTAGTGGGTTAGGTTTAGTGGAGTAGGTGAGGTGGTAGTGGTGTAGTGGGTTAGGTTTAGTGGAGTAGGTGAGGTGGTAGTGGTGTAGTGGGTTAGGTTTAGTGGAGTAGGTGAGGTGGTAGTGGTGTAGTGGGTTAGGTTTAGTGGAGTAGGTGAGGTGGTAGTGGTGTAGTGGGTTAGGTTTAGTGGAGTAGGTGAGGTGGTAGTGGTGTAGTGGGTTAGGTTTAGTGGAGTAGGTGAGGTGGTAGTGGTGTAGTGGGTTAGGTTTAGTGGAGTAGGTGAGGTGGTAGTGGTGTAGTGGGTTAGGTTTAGTGGAGTAGGTGAGGTGGTAGTGGTGTAGTGGGTTAGGTTTAGTGGAGTAGGTGAGGTGGTAGTGGTGTAGTGGGTTAGGTTTAGTGGAGTAGGTGAGGTGGTAGTGGTGTAGTGGGTTAGGTTTAGTGGAGTAGGTGAGGTGGTAGTGGTGTAGTGGGTTAGGTTTAGTGGAGTAGGTGAGGTGGTATAATTAAATAGTAGAGGGTCAAAATGGTGGGACAGTTTACAGAGTCTTGTCGGACCCTTAAAAAATACACTGTATGATGGTGTATATAGGCTGCCCAAATATAGATATATATGGATATATATAGTGAGCCCTCAAAAGTCGCGCCCTCAAAAGGCGCGCTCACTTTATCAAAAGATGTGCCATGAAAAGGCGTGCCAGTTTGTCGGGCGTCAAGAGGCGCGCGATGCGCGTGGCTGCCTCGGCTATTTAATCAAGACGGAGGCGGAGGCCGAGGCAGAGGCTGAGACTTGGAAGCAGAGACAAAAAAAAAAACCTGCTAGAAAAACTCTGAAAAACTCTTCGTTTTCTGAGAGAGATTTCTGAGAGAGATACTCTGTAACACTCTGTTTTCTGAGAGAGATTTCTGAGAGAGACACTCTGTAACACTCTGTTGTCCAGAAAATGGCTTCGTCTTCCCGTGGTCTGCTCACTCTCTTTCCAGACCTTAACAAGTCAACAAGAGAGATAACTGGTGCGGGGGCCAGGGAACCTCAACCAAGCGCCCCAGGGTTTGCTCCGTTGAACTTTCCTATGCGGTCGGTGGAGCAAAAAATGGCAGTGCAAACTGACATTGAAGCCAATCAGTATACTTTGAAGTCCTGTGTGGAGACGATGACGGCAGTCACAAACTTGTCGCACCGCCTGCAGAGTAGGGCAAATGAGGTGCAGCAGTTAAACTCCCAGCTGGCTCTGCTCCAACGCATGTATAAGGATGCGCGAGCAGAGATAAGTGTGCTAAAGGCAGAAAAAAAGGAGCTGAAGCGGAAGGCCACCGTGATGTTTCGATTTGGAGGTCCGCCATATGCTGCAGTGGAGGAGCAAAGTGGAGTGATCGTGCCCAGTGGAGTGGGAAACACGGAGGCAACACCGTCAAGGGCCGCCCAGGACGGAGGCAAGAAGAAAAGACCGGCGGAATAGGCGAAGAAGTGAGGTCGGTGGGTGGCCGTCTGCAGAAAAGAAAACAAATCTGGGGGTGTTGTGTTTTGGGTTGTTGTTGTTGTGGTTGTTGTTGATTTTTTTTTTTTTTTTTTTTTTTTTTTTTTTTTTTTTTAAAATTTTTTTGGGGGGTTTCCCTAAAAATTTTTTTTTTTTTTTAGATAGAAAAGAAAAGAAAAGAGAAAAAAGAAAAGAAATTGAATTCAATGTATATATATGTATATGTTGACATATTAAAATATAGATAGAATATATGATGATGAGGTTTGGGGTGGAAAAAATGATAAATTATTTAAAGAGATAGTAGGTGGTTCATAGGAGTAGTCCCGTGGGTGATAAAAAAGAGGGAGTGGGTGATATAAAAAAAAGAAAAGAAAAGAAAGTGGATGAAAAGTAGGAACCAACCCATGTGGGATTGAATGCTGCCCAATGATGCACTTTGGCTCAATTGTGCAAGACCGCAAAAGACTGTAAGCACCAATTGTCACAAACCTTTCAATCAATATCTCTGCGGGCAGTCCTGTGGGAGAAGACCAAGCTGCGTGGACGACGCACCTCTCCTGCACATTGGAACAGAAGCCAACAGTGATCTTGTTGAGATCGCCTCGAAGGACCGATCCATTCCAAACGGAGGCTCCATCGCAGACGGTGACCTGGCCGGCGAGCACGACGTTGGGGGCAACATAGGCATCGACGGCGATCTTGGGGAGCCACTGACCGAGGGGGAGGATCTTCCTCTGTCCTCTGTAGTCCCATTTCAGGTCTTTGGAGAGACGAAGCTTCTTCCTGGAGGTATCACCGTCTTCTTCGTCGCTGATTCCTCGAGATGAAGCTCTCTCGAGATCGAGATCGAGATCGAGATCCTCTCCGTTGGGCTCCTCTCTCTCGCTTCTCTTCCCGCTGATACTCGAGATCGTGCTGTTCGGAGACGAAACTCCAGCTTCTTCCTTGCAATCGATCGTCGAAGGAACTCGATTCACGTCGATTCCTTTCAGCAACGATCTCGTCTCGACTCTGCAAGTCTCTGAGTTTCGATCAAAGGAAGGAAAGTTATCGTTCCATGAAGTCATCTTCTGAGGATTGAAAGGTGCGGAGGGAAAAGGAGAAGAAGGCGGCATAAGATTCAACTGTAGTGAGCTTCGATTCTCAGGAAAGCTCAAGCTCAGACTCAAACCCAAGTCTTCTTTCTCAACAGGCATCTTCTTAATCGATTTGTTCTTGAAAATCCCACTTGAAAGAGCACAGCACAGAGTGGTTAGGATAGCAGGGTTCAGGATTTTAGAGAGGGTTAAGGTCAACAGTGGTGGTAGATGAAGACGACCGAGACGGTGGTGTATGGGAGGACAACAGTGAGAGGAGAGGCAGTGAAGGTGGTGGACTCGAAGAAATTTCAAGGTATGTGTAGAAGTAGGTGGAGAGTATGTGGATTTAGTGGGTTAGGTTTAGTGGAGTAGGTTTAAGTGGGTGAAGTAGGTGGAGAGTATGTGGATTTAGTGGGTTAGGTTTAGTGGAGTAGGTTTAAGTGGGTGAAGTAGGTGGAGAGTAGGTGGTGGGTTAGGTTTAGTGGAGTAGGTTTAAGTGGGTGAAGTAGGTGGAGAGTAGGTGGTGGGTTAGGTTTAGTGGAGTAGGTTTAAGTGGGTGAAGTAGGTGGAGAGTAGGTGGTGGGTTAGGTTTAGTGGAGTAGGTTTAAGTGGGTGAAGTAGGTGGAGAGTAGGTGGTGGGTTAGGTTTAGTGGAGTAGGTGAGGTGGTAGTGGTGTAGTGGGTTAGGTTTAGTGGAGTAGGTTTAAGTGGGTGAAGTAGGTGATAGGTTTTAACACCTACCACAAGACAGCACCAAGTTGATGTTACAATCTCACAGCACAGTAATGTAATTAAGTCCATTTGGTTTGAGTGGGCTACGGTGATGGTAGTTAATGATTGCGATAATTTCTTGAAACTACACAGCTATAAATTCTTCAAGATTGTTGATTAAAATGGTGTACAACTTGTCAGAGTTCTTAAATGGTATCAGTGTCTCTTTGCTATTGTTACCAATCTATTTACTCATTTTCATGATGAAATGTCATTAAATGTACTTCTCTGGCCTCCAACTTGTGTTAGATGGTGCCTATTATTATTTTTTGTTTGCATTTTATTTGATTAATCTTTTTTGCGGGTGGGGGTGCTTCATTGTTTGATTGTACTGTGAACTTAACAGGTCTCCATTTTGGCTGGTACGCTTGCTCGTTTGGATAGAGATGCTCCTCATTACAAAAAGTACGTGTTAGCTTTAGTATGTGTATATATGCACTTCATTTTATTTTTCCAATGTCTCACTCGCTCAACTAGAATGCCAATGTTAGTCCAAATTAGATCTTCTTGAGTGGTACGGCTGGTGATGGAAGTATTAATTGAAAGCCCAATGTACATTTCTTCTTAAAATCCAGATATTAAGAAGAGGGAAACTGAAACCTTATTGTGGGACACATTCCAACACACCCTCCTGGACCACAACACACACTAGTCGGACAAACGGCACACCAGTCACAGGCCTAACCAAGCTATGATACCAAATTGAAAAGTCCAACCCACACTTCTCTTTAAAACTCAGGTATTAAGGAGAGGAAAACAGGAGCTTTATAATCAGCACAGATGGGACAACTTCAGGTTATGTGGGACAGAGGTGCCGACAGTGGCTGGGCAAAGAATTAGGGTTTCTGTGCTCTGCCTCTGATACCAAAAAGGGTGAAAAGAATGATTTGGCTTACCCATGAATGAGGTAGAGGCCATGTATATATAATAGATTTATGATACAATTTAGGAAACGATATAAACAAGGAAATGATATAAATAAGACACTAAATCAGTGATTGATACAATTACAGATTATATACATAATACTAAAAATAAAAAGATTTTATGTACTCTAATTTTTATATTTAACAGTGTTGTGATGTTCTTTTATCTATCATTCCATTTGGTATATTTGTTAGGAAGTCGCATGTCCCTTTTTAATACATACATGTATTTGTATTTATACCTAGGGAATTGCAATCGTGCTTCATTTGAAGTAGGATAGCGCTTTTATTTTTCTGATGTCTCACTTACTCAACTAAAATGCAGATATTAGTTAAATCAAACCTGATATCGTCGAGTGATGCGTCCTGGTGATGAAAATATTGTGATGTTCAATTATCTATTGTTCCATTTGGTACATTTGTTAGGAAGTTGCATGTCCCTTCTTAATACGTACGCACAAATATGTGTACACATGGAATTGCAATCCTACTTCATTTAGCATTGTACTAGTTCAAACCTTAAGTGAGGTACTTTGCACTAACAATCCGTTAAGAAGCATAAAATACCCAACCAAAAGGTAAGCAAAAGTTTAATGTAGCGAAGGCAATAGTAACAAACTGAACTCTACCGCAAGCTTAAGATGTTTTCAGACATCCACAAATGCTATAAAGCATAAGAACGAAACTTAGCTAACAACTATGAGCAAAGGGGATAGAAAGTTTGTCTTTGAGGGCTAGCACTCGACGAACTAAAATTTAAATCATAAAGAAGATGATCTGGAAAGATTTTGAGTGAGCAGAGTTTGGTACTTATGATCTTTAAACAAATAATATTAAAGAAAAGAAGAAGAAAGTAAAGGATCAAATTTGGTGGGTGAAAGGCAGACAACTCAAATAGGGTTGGATCTTACCAGTCAATACAGTGCCGAGGAGCCTTTGAATTGAACCATCATTTGCCACAAGAACAAGGAAGAGATGAAGAAGGAAGACGACAACCTGTACAATGAGAAGAGGAGAAGAGGTGAAAGGAAAAGAAGAGAAGCTGTGAGGGTGGAGCCGAGAGAGAGAAGGAAAGAGGCAGCCACCATATGTTCATAATTCTGCCAAAAGGAACCCCTCTCTTGCCTCAGACTTGGGAAATTATAGGGTTTTTATCTATTGTCCAACCTAACCATCTTCTTGCTCTTGCCAAGACTCCATAGGTCCACTTGTCATGCCACTACTTACACAAATCAAAACCCTACCAGAAATTCTAATGGTCCAAAGCTTAGAAGCATGGACAGTGACGGACAAGGAATTACAATAGGGGTGTTTTTGCTGGAAGTGATGATAAAACAGTGGGTTGCAGATCTGGTATGTAGGGGGAAAAAGATGAGGTTTTAGAGTTACAGTATTGCCCTCATTGTAGTCGACAAAGGAAAGGGACTGGGGTATTTTTTGTCCAAATTCTAACCTTCTTTAGTCATTGGCTAAAGGCGGCCATGTATAGGTAAATAGTTATCATAAATATACTTCCTATTACTCTGGTTTCGGTTTTGTTTTATGCACCATGTCAACTTTTAGTTCTCAATGGTGATCATTTCAACCCTATCTTGATTAAGATTATGATTCCTGTAACTTCATGCAAAGAAGTCCTTTCTGCATCATTAATGATAAATTTCTAGTCTAGCTAAGATGTTGCTCACATGAAGTAGTTTTGTCTCTATGATTCATCAAAGTTAAGTTGAATTTGAGTCATCTTTGCCTCAATCTCTACCTCTTTGTAACTAAGAACTATTATCACACAGCTTTACCTCTGTCATTTCCACTTCCTCTCATGAAGTGATCTTGAGCGTGGAAGTCCTGTTGTTGCCACTCTATAGTAGTGCTTTACATTTTCTGGCTTCAGTGGCCTTAAACTGAGCTCTGGCTCATTTATGCAGCTCTGATTTTGCTGTAAGCGAGCAACTGTGGACTGCCATTATCTAATGGCATTTAACATGTTTTTGACATCATCTATGAAGCCTATGGAACATCTTGACAATTGCTTTCACATGAATTCATTCAACTCAGAATCTCTCGAGTGTTTTCTAAGATTTTCAATTTGCCTTTATTATCACTGATACAATCACCACAGTCCACGATTGTTGCATGGTGAATGACTTTTCTACTCTTGAGTTCTGATATTTTATTTTCTTTGCCGTCCTTAATTATACAGTTGTAGATTTAAAGTTGTATTTTGTTTATCATATGTATTTTTTCCACTAGGTTTTATTAAATTTTATATTCTTAATGTCTTTTCTGTGTCTCTTACAAAATGGAAAAATAGATAATCTTTTCTGCCTAACATCCGTTATATGCATAAGCCGGATTGTTACCCATCGCCACTATTTACATAAATGTTTACAATGGTTGCCTTTTTTTGGAGCAGGGATGGCTACAATGACTTCAACACATTCTACATGCAAGTAAGCATTGTGACATTAGATGTTATTTGTTGGATTCTATAAATTACAAAGTATCAATTTTGCTGGAGTTATTTTGATGATTCAAGTTGCAAAGCAAAATTTGTGTTGGACTCATCAGTTAGTGTTAAAATATATCATCACCTACCACCTCCACTCAACTCACCTACCACACACACTCACCTACTCCCCAATCCTCTCCTATATAATGAGTACCTCACCATCTGTAATTTACACAATCAATCAATACAACAATCTTGTAACATCTATCTCAATCAATAATACATATATTTTTACAGTTAGCATTGCTGCTGATTGGTCGTTGGTGTCAGCATTAACACATTTTTTTGTTGGTCTAATTAATTTACCACCACCATTGCTAGTGATTGTTCCTTCTCTCTTATTGTTGAATTGAATGTCAGCAAGTTTGTTTTCCTTTGAGTAAATGTTTAACCTTTGACTGCTGTAGGTTTGGTTTGACTAGTTTGATTTGTCTACTTTTTTTTTACTTGGACTTGTGTTTAGGCAATGCCTTATTGATTGTATGTGAAGATTAGTTGGTAAAAAGAAGAATGTAACCTCAGCAAGACATAGGGACTGAGGAGAACAGTTCATCTGCGAAACTACTGCACAAGGAAGAACACTTGGAAATATTGTTTTTTGGTTACATTTTTTGTGAACATTGAATTTCTACGGAGGGAACTATAGAAAGTGTTGTCTATGGGATCTAAGACCAGAATGCTGTGACTTTTCCTGACCTTAATGCACCCCCACAGACCACATGCTTTTCTTTCATTTAAGCATGTTCAGCTTGGCTCACTTTCTGTTTATGTAATTTTAATTATTGCTTAAATATATGGCCTCATTTTAGGAATTATAATTTTGTCAAATGTCAATACCAATAAACATCATATTTTTAGTTTTATTTATTGATCTGAGGGTTGTGACACAACCATAAAATTTGTGGATCACTTTTCTTAATTGTTTTTTTGTACATGGATATCAAAAGTGCACATAAGTTAAAACTGTTTAATAAATGAGATCCAATTCATTTGTTTTTTCAGAAAATGAAATTATATGCATTAGTAGTAAAATATAGTCAAATTGTTTTCCCCTAAATCTTTGATATGTTATGTGATAGTTCACATTTTTATTTTTTTCATTTTATTTTTTTCCCTAGAGCAAAATTTTGGGCACAATTTTTTGTGGGATCATTGAGAAGCTAGAAATGCAGTTTAAGCTGTTATCTACTAAGAGTTAAAGCATGTATGAGTGTGTGGTGTAACTGGTGGAAATGGTGGAGGTGATGGCTGTGACCAGCAATACCAAGTGGTGTAAATGTGCAAGAGTAATGTTGTGTTGTAGTAACAGTGTCATTAACTTTGCATGCCTGTAGTTTCCTTGGTATATGCATTTAAAGAGCATGAATGTTTTTTCCGCTATGGTCTATAGACATTTATGGAAGCTCTAGGTGCTGAACAAGTGTCTGAAAAAAGGAGCCCACTAACTTTATGTGACAATTTTGTTGACACTCTTGATTTTGCTGCTAACTCAATCTTTATTCATTCTTTACTTGTTTCTTTGCAATTTGTGAAAGCCTTGTCGATTTTGTTTCAAGCTAAGTCTTTGTTATTATAGTTCTTCCTCTTTCTCCTTACTTACAGGCGGCATCTGGGACTAAAGGGGGTTCCAGTGGTTCTCCAGTAATTGATTGGCAAGGCAGGGCAGTGGCATTGAATGCTGGGAGCAAGTCATCAAGTGCTTCGGCATTTTTTTTGCCTTTAGAAAGAGTGAGTATCTTTTCAATTATTTATTGTGATTTCTATGTCATGCTTCTTTTTTGATAATATTTTACAATTCTTGTTATTTTCTTCTTTATAGTTTGATTTTTTGTCTTGTTATGCGTGCTACTTTTATTGGTTCATCTGGCATGCATATTGTCTTGATGCAAATTTACTGTTATTGTTCTTTTCATTGCTTTAATTTTCTCTACACACTCATTGCTATTCTATTAGATTTTAAGGAACATTAGTTGTCAATATTCTATGTGAAGCTTGGCATTGTGAGATGCCAGTCTCATATGTGCTTGAATTATCTAAAACCATCCACTTTGTATTCTAGAGATTTGATCCAATTGATTGGTTGATGCCATGATGATTTAAATGTCATAGTTTCTAAGCACTCATCTCATGGTTATACTGTTTGCAGGTTGTAAGGGCTTTAAAGTTCTTCCAGGAGGGAAGAGATTCATTTTGTGACCAGTGGGAGGCTGTTACTATTCCTCGTGGTACACTTCAGGTTTGCTAATTCTTATCCTTGCAGACTGTAGAGCTTTACTTTCATCAGAGCTCCCGTTTGTTTGGTTTCTGTTGAAACTGCATAGAACAGAATAATACATATTCTTGTGGATATTTGGCCAGATTTCCAAATTGTATTTCTTTTTTAGGCTTGATGTTATGATACATGCCAGACACCTCCTTGGAATAAAAGAATACCCCATTTAGTTTGCCAACTCTCTTCCTTTTTATTTTATTTAATATGGTTTGCTCCTTGTGATTGTGCTACTGTAAATTCAATGATTTTTAAATTTTGAGAATCTTCCATCTTGCAATTTTTGTACTCTGTGAGTGCTTTAACCTCAGCATCTGTACATATAAATAAATACCTAAGAATCTTCTCTCGGTTTGGTTTCATTTTTCTTTATAACATCATTCTATTCTATATTTCTACTTGACAATTCTTTATGAAGATTTGGCATCTGGTCCATAAAATATGCAGTTGTTAAATCGTAACAGTTATTTCTCCTTTTTCTACAATACCTGATTCTTGTTGGTTTTTTGTGGATGATTCCATGCTCAAGGGTATATTCTATTATATGTTGTCATCCTAAAATATTATGTGTAGTGTAGGTCTAATTGGTTATTCCTTTAGTGTTTAGTTTAGTAGCACTATATTTCTTGTGATACATTTAATGTGTGCATATAATGGTAGAAATTCAAAGATCATAGGGTAAATTTGCTTTACCCGATTGTGGTTTGGTCAAATATAAACACATTAACTCCCTGTGGTTTCTGGACTACTGTGCATTACTTACCTTTGTTAATGGCAATGATAAAATGACTTCTTCTTCTTCTTCTTAATACTTGTAGAATAAGATCAGAGTCTGTAAACCAAAAAATATTCTTGCAAATAGGATCACCCCCCTGCATATTTCTGTTTGGCATGTGTGTGCAATTCAAGATTTACTTCTGTATAAATTGGCTCTCGTAATTCATGATATAGGTGACGTTCCTGCACAAAGGATTTGATGAGACACGTCGCCTTGGTCTCCAAAGTGATACAGAACAGGTACTTAGGCCTGTGTGGAAACCTGCATTCTTTTGTTTCATTGGTTAACAATATAATAATTTGAGATTCATTAACTCTTTAATGAGTGTTTTTGACTGGATTAGATGGTGCGCAATGCATCACCGGTTGGGGAAACTGGAATGCTTGTTGTTGATTCTGTGGTGAGTATACTTTCTTCAGTGTGTTAGAATTAATTCACTAGATTTTTGTCCTCTCTTTAATGTCTGCTATCTTTCTGAGCCTCTTCAGGTGCCTGGTGGCCCAGCTCACAGCCTTTTGGAGCCTGGTGATGTGCTTGTTCGGATAAATGGGGATGTAAGTATTTCTTCAACTGTGTACCACATACATATTAACTCCATTTGTGTGTCTTGTTTACTTCCTATTATGTTTTTTATATTGAACATTTATTTTTTTCCAAGCTGCATTTTCTATTTTTAATGAAAATTTTGAACAAATATAAACTTATTGTTCTTTCTCTATGTGCTCCTCTTGCCTTTTTCTTCTTCAACTTTTTTGTTTTCTTACTTATTTAAAAATTTAGTTGTGGCTATCTTTGCAGGCTCCAGCTTGCAATGATTATTTTTTTCTTTTTAATTTTGCCTTGTTGGACTTGTTTTGTGGATGCTAAAGGAATTTTAAACTAAAACATGAAATTTTGAGTTAAACTTCTAAATTATGTTGAACTTTATCAGTAGGGGGTGAAATTAATTTGTGGAAGTTTATCAAAGCTGAAATTTAGATTTATAATTTTGTAAAATTTCTTTTCTTATTTTACATTTGTTTCATAATAGTGAAGTCTGGGATTAGACTTTTTGAACAGCCTTTGTTTCAAGTAACCTGTTTCAATTTTCCAGAAACCAATGCATGCTGATTTCTGGATTGTGGAATTCGAGTCATAATTTTCATGTTGAATTTCTGAAATATGACCTGCATGACTTGTCTTTTGATATATCAAAATTGTTAGTGCAGGTAATTACTCAGTTCCTAAAATTGGAAACATTACTTGATGACAGTGTGGACCGAAACATTGAATTACAGATTGAAAGGGGTGGCACACCATTGACTGTAGACTTGACGGTGAGATTTAATATTGCACATTTTGTGTTGCTTTTGTTAAGTACAGTATATATTTTCTTATTTATGGCAGAGTGCTATAGTTGTTTACTTGTTGTGTAGATGTGACAAGTTGCTGTGGTAGATAATGAAATTGCCTATGGTTAAGAGATGTTGATTTGACTTATTATATGTACTACTTCCCATTTTTTTTTGGCATACTCTGCATGATTGGTAATGGATATTGTGGAAAATTGGATGCCAGTTAGTTTTTAAGTCAGTCTGTAAAGACCTTGCATTTTTCTTCTAGATTCCAGAGATATGTTCTGTCATGTTCTTTTTGGTAAATATATTTTCAGTCACGGTTGAGTTGAATCCTACTCTTAAATGCATGAATGTCTCATTGGGGTGACGTTTCCACTCTAGAACTGTAATTTAGTTAGCACGAATTGGGTTTAGAACCATGTTGCTGTCGAGATAGAATTGTGGTTCCAATTAGGATGGGATCACTCCCAAGCATGTCCCAGAGTGTCGGAGCCGTGTCCGTATCCAACACATGTTGGATTTTGTTACAATGATTAAAACAATATTTTGTGCCACGCTAGTCTAGACTCCATTCTTAGTCAAGGTCCGTTTGAGGATTGACCATCTTGTTTTTCTTTTTTGCTTTTCATTCGGTATTGGTGCAAGTTTAATTTGTTCTGCTGATGTTCAGGTTAAGGATCTACACTCAATAACTCCGGATTACTTCTTGGAAGTAAGTGGTGCTGTGATACACCCTCTTTCATATCAACAGGTTGGTTGGGTTTTGCTGCTTTTGCTTAGTATCAGACTATCAGTGTTCATGACTTAGTTGGTAAGAGATACTACAAGTTATGTAAATTTCATTGTAGTGTGACTTATGTGCATTTTCTCTTAGCAGCTGTATTATATGAACAAGCTAGAAAACATGTATAAGTAAACCATCCTAGAATGTTGGGATATGAAAGTGAAATTGGGGTATGGAAGTGAATTTGTGATGTGGTTTTCGCTCACTTTCTATTGGATGGTCACCTAATGGGCACGTCTAAGAAACGAAGGAGCAACATGTTCCTAGTTCACTCTAAATGGTTTCAGTTAGAGTTCCTTTGATTTTTATCTTGTTGCTCCTCTTGATGACCTTAAATTCCATTTGTAAAAGTCTGTAGAATAAGTACATTGTATACAATAAAAACTCCAGATCTGGCTATTTAAAATAATCTAATTGCCATTTGGTTGATTGTCTTTTTGGGTCTTTGATTAAGCATACCCTGTAAGACTAGTAGCTTTGGCTGGGTACAAAAATGTTGAAGGCCCTTGATTTTAAAATAAACCCTAAAGGCTCTTTTGTATGCCTACTGCTGTTGAAGTTTTTTGAACTTATCTTTTTCAATGCTTTTTCTAACTTCAGATAATCTATAATTACGAAAATGTTACTTACTCATTCTTATTTTTTTCCATTGCAAAGAAATATTTCATCCCTTTTATGCATTTACTGCATCCGGTATATGATTTCTAAGCTCTTAAAATTGGGCATATTTGTGTTACGGATCTGATATTTGTCATATTAATAAATTTATGATCGAACAAGAACATCATCTCATTTTGGAATAATGACCTACTCAAATTTGTAGCTTTTGTTACAGTTGATTCCCCTACACTAGTGGGAAGGGTCGTACTTAATTCCACCACAGTTTTCATGGTGATGGCACATTCCATCCAGTTCTCTGAGGATCTAATTTCTAATTCATCCAGGCATCTCATTCAACATTAGTTATCTTGATATTCTTTGATTTGATGCTGGAAAAGACATTAAAATTAACTTTCATTTGATTTTGATCTGTTGATCAGTATGTTTATCACTTAGTTATAGCTTTTCTGCTGTTAAGATAACCAACTCTGTTCAATATTGTGAATGTCCCTGACTAGTCCTCTTCTATGTCTCTTCCTTAATATATTTTTTATTTTTTGGGTGACAGGCTAGAAATTTTCGTTTCCACTGTGGCCTTGTATATGTTGCAGAACCAGGGTATGTCTATCCTTCTCTCATCATGTTTTCATTTTCAAGGCTTAAATTGTGATCATGTTTAAATTTTGTTATTTACTGTTCTGTCTGTTCGTATATCAGTCCAATTGCCTCTTTCTCTGAGTATCGTTAGTCATATTTCTGAAGGAAACAAGGAAGCTGTTCACCACTATTTGATATCTAGAGCAGAAAGATCACCTCGAAATTTCTGTTATAATTTCTCACTGGAAAGAGTTCTACATATCAATTGCAGATATATGCTTTTTAGAGCTGGAGTTCCCCGTCATGCCATTATTAAAAAATTTGGACGTAAGGAAATATCACGACTTGCCGACCTAATTTCTGTTCTTTCCAAGCTGGCTAGGGGTGCTCGAGTGCCATTGGAATATATAAGTTACATGGATCGTCATCGAAGAAAGGTATTGATTATTATCTTTTTCCAAACCTTCCTGCTGGGTATTTTTCAGTCAATGGATATCACTTGGCTAAAAACAGTTTTTGTTCTTTACCTTTGCATAAGTCTACTTCAATTGGCATGGTTACTTGATTGAATAAACTGTATGGATTTACCCTTTATTGTCAAAAGTGAGTATATTAATAAATTTTCTTACAATAACTTTTTGGCCAAAGACCTCCATAGAAATTAGCAAGTTATGGCTTACTGTATGCAGTAGAAGTGTCACTATAGTTCCATGATAGATACCATGACTTAGAAAATATGAGGAAGAAGAACTCCGAAAATATGAGGAAGAACATGCCACTATCTTATTATATACATTAACACAAATTTCCAGCACCATGTGATCTGTCGAGTTGCAGAATGGAGAAGAACGAGGTGTGGAAGAAGAGGGTTGACAAGCAAAACTCATATACTATTGGATCAGGCATTTTGAAATTTATTAATATAATAATTAAAGTTCTTAAAGGACTAAAGTGATCTTGATACTCCCATATTGTGAGAATATTATGTTAATTATGGTAATGTATTTTAGATTTGATTGTGAATATTAAATTGATTGTATTTCCTATTTCAAATTAGGGTTAGGATTTCTATATATATTGGTTGTAATCTTTGTATTAGCACAATTTGAATATATACAAAGTTTCTCAAATTGTGCTAATACAAAGATTACAATTAATATGTATAGCAATCCTAACCCTAATCTAAAATAGGAAACACAATCAATCTAATATTTACAATCAAATCTAAAATACATTTCCATAATTAACATAATATTCTCACACCTCCGCTCAAACTCAAGGTGTTTTAGCAAAAAACACTGAGAGTTTGCCAAGAAGAAACTGAAAGCGAGTAGTGGTGTAGTCTTCATAAATAAATCAGCAAGTTACAATGCCGAAGAGACGAAAGGAAGCGAGATGGAGCCAGACTGTAGATGCTGACATATAAAATGACAATCAATCTCAATATGCTTCGTCCGCTCGTGAAAGACAGTGTTATATGCAATCTGAATAGCATTGCGGTTGTCATAGTAAAAGGAGGTCGGAGAAGATTGAGGGACACCCAACCCAGTTAAGAGACAATGAAACTAAACAATCTCAGCAGTGGCATGAACCATAACACAGTACTCAACTTCGATAGTGGAACGCGCAACAACGGTCTGTTTCTTGGCCTTTCAAGAGATCAATGAATCACCAAGAAACATGCAGATGCCAGAAGTGGACTTGCGATTAGTGACATCACCAGCTCAATTAGAATCAGCATAAGCTACCAAGTCCAAAAAGGAAATAGAAGACAACAGTAAACCCTGAAATGTAGTTTCCTGGAGATAGCGAAGAATCTGAATCAAAGCAGCCCAATGGATAGAGCGAGGATCAGAGACAAATTGGCTAACCACATGAACAACATAGGCAAGATCACGACGAGTAACCGTCAGATAGACTAAGCAACCCATGAGCTCTCGATATAAAGTAGGATCATCCAGAAGAACACCATCAGTAGTGTTCAACTTTACATTAAGCTCCATGGGAGTATCAGAAATCTTAGTGTCAGTAAGACCGGCATGATGAATAACCTCATTGGCATACTTGGCCTGAGATAGAAAGTAGCCCTTGGGAGAATAAGCTACCTCAACACTGAGAAAATACTGCAATGGGTCTAGATCCTTTATTTTAAAGGTGCGGAAAATGCTGCTTGACCTCAGAGATAGCAGAAGAGTCAAAACTAGTGATGATCATATTATCTACACAGAGTAATAATGTAACAAATCCAGTAGAGGTGTGGAGAAGAAATGAAGCAGAGTCCTGCGTGGATGAAACCCAAGCTCAGTAACAGCTGTCTGAAAGCGATCATACCAAGCACGGGGAGACTGTTTTAGACCATACAGAGCACGCCGAAGGCGACAAGCCTATCCAGAGGAATGGTGATGGCCAAGGGGAGGACGCATGTAAACCTCCTCAGTGAGATGGCCATTAAGGAAAGCATTTTTAACATCCATCTGATAAAGAGGCTAAGAACGAACAACAGCAACAGAGATCAAAGTACGAACAATAGTTATCTTGGCAACAGAAGCGAAGGTCTTCTCATAATCAATACTATACTCCTGTGAGAAACCTTTGGTAGCTAGACGAGCTTTGTAGCTCTCAAGAGAACCATTAGAATAAGTCTTGACTTTGTAGATCCATTTGCAACCAACCAGATTCTTACCAACAGGCAAAGGAATCAACTCCCAAGTACTAGTTTTCTATAAAGCAGACAACTCATCCTTCATAGCTTGAACCCAATAAGGATCCTGACAGGCCTTCTTGTAAGACTAAGGTTCTGAAAAAGAGTGAATAGCAGACAAAAAAGTATGATAGGAAGTAGAAAAACTTGTATTAGACTAACCCAACCTGTTTGGAGGATGACGCGTTCTAGTAGGATATTAGTGTGCAGCAGGATCAGAGTCGTCAGAAGCAGGAGGATCAGCATCAGCAGCAGGAGCAGAGACAACTGGTGGAGGAGGAGCCTTGCGACGAGAATAAACTAACAACGGAGGAGGAGAAGAGACCGAAAGAGAAGCAGCTAGAGGTAAAGCAGGAGGAGAAAATGGAACAAGCTCAGGAGGAATTGTAGAGATGTACTCATCAAACGGGATCTCAGAAGGAAACAGATCAATATGAACCAAATACTCTTTGAAAATTGGGGCGGTGAGAGGAGGAAGCTGAAAGTAAGGTAGACGTTCGAGAAAGGCAACATGGCGGGAGACATAAAGGTGACGGGAAACAAAGCCATAATAGCGATAACCTTTCTGAGTGAGACTATAATCCAAAAAGACACATAAGACAGACTAGGCACTAAGTTTAGTCTTATCTTTACAGGATAAAAGGACAAAACAAGCATATCGAAACACACGAAGGATGGAGTAATTGGGAAGTTGAGAAAACCGAGCCTCATAAGGAGACCGACCAGAAAGAAGGGGGGTAGGCATACGGTTGAGAAGAAAAGCAGCAGTTAGAACTGTCTCACCCCAAAACGGAGCCGGAATGGAGGCAAAGAAAAGGAAAGACCTAGCTATCTCAAGGAAATGACAGTGTTTACGCTTAGCTCGACCGTTTTGGGCAGGTGTATCAGTATAAGAAGTTTGGTGAATGGTATCCAATTTGGCCAAATATTCACAAAAATCAGTTTTAAAGTATTTCCCGCCCAAGTCAAACCGCAACAATTTAATAGTAGACCCAAACTGTGTAGTAACCATAGACTGAAAAATACGGTATATTTGGTAGAAGTCAGACTTAAGAGTCATAAGATAAACCCAAATGTAACGGGTGCAGTCATTAACAAATGACACATAGTATGTAGAACTCTCTTTGGTGAGAACAGGAGAAGGGCCCCAAACATTAGTATGAACTAAAGAAAATGGTGTATCAGATATAGAAGTACTTTTATGAAAAGGTAAGACTGTCATTTTGGCAAGTTTGCACCCCCAACATTCAGTAAGTTTACTAGGAGAAACTTTATCCAATATATCAGACTGAGCTAAAGACAGTAAACGATCAGCAGACAAATGCCCTAATCTAGAATGCCACAAGTAGAAAGAACTAGATAGAGAATCTAACTGAAAAGAGGAAAAGGCAGTCAAAGAGGTTGTCATGGGCAAATGCAAGCTCTCCTTCACATGAAGGTCTCCAACTCTATGGCCGGTCCCAATCTGTTGCTTAGACATTTGATCCTACACAGAACACATAGAAGAAGAAAAAATAGCATCAAAGCCAGAGACATCAAGCTGACTAATAGATAATAAACTGACAGATAACGGAGGAACATAAAGGACAGATGGAATAGAGACACAGACAGTAGACATAGCAGATGGTAGGACAGACCCAACAGATATAACAGACATACTAGACCCATTAGTAGTATTGACAGTAATAGGAAAGGGAGGAGAAGTACAATTTTGAAGTAATGAGAGATGATGAGTCATATGATGCGAGGCATCAGAGTCAAAAAGTCAGATAGACGAAGAAATACCTGAAGAAGACCCAAGCAAACCTAAATGAAAAAAAGAAACAACAGAGGCAGATGGGGATGTTTGGGAGGTAGACAATATATGTTGAAGCTGACTAATCTGAGCAGTCAAGGAAGCCAAGTCAGGACCAGGAGTCGGAGCAAGTAGATGCAGTAGGAGGAGCCCAAAATTGGTTCTGAGACTGTTAAAAAGATGAGGCAGGCAAACGTCACTTTTTGAGACAGTGGTACTTCCAATGGCCCCTCTGATGGCAGAAGGCACACTCATCAAAAGCCAAAGACATCGTAATAACTAGAGAGGTGAGGGGTTCGAGTGTAATAAACCAAGAACTGATGAGTCAAAATATAATAATCCCAAACAACTAGAACCAGATCACACAATATATTACACACACTATTACTATTGATGTGGTCAAAGTGTAATAAGGACAAAATCTGGTGGACTAAGATCAGAGAGCCAATACAAGAGAGAGAGCTTAGTGACCACAGAGCAGAGATGAGACCAAAGACGAGGAGCTTCGTCAATACCAACAATGAAGCACAGAGCTTCAATCGACACGCAATCCTGAGAGATTGCGAACAACAGAGGCAGAGACTGAGACCCCGAAGCTGAACCAAGATGATGTCACGACCTCGCTGAGGCAGAGATAGAGACTCGTGATTGTGATTAGACCTAGAGAGAGGGAGTCGCGATCGAAATCTGAACCAGAAAAAGAGATGCAAGCTTCAGGTGAGTTTGACGAACCAGAAATCCCACCTACACAGTTCGATTATGAACCACGTGAGCCAATGATGCTGACCAGATGACCCAGAACTTCAAACCAGACGGAACAAGGGAGAGAAAGCTTCAACCGACCGTGAATCGAGAGAGAGAACTCAATCAATTCGTGATTCAGAAACCAAAAGAAGAATTCATAAATCAAACGGCTAGCGTTATGAACGTAGCTCTGATACCATGTAAGTTTCTGAATAAACTTGTATATATTCAAATTGTGCTAATACAAAGATTACAACCAATATATATAGCAATCCTAACCCTAATCTAAAATAGAAAATACAATCAATCTAATATTCATTTCCATAATTAACATAATATTCACACATATATCAGGGAAATGGTCATGTAGTGGTGTTTATAGAACTGTGAAATGATGTTGAATCTAGATTCTATGCCTATAATTCCTGATACAACGTTTACATTTTTCTATGCTCATTTCCTTTAGTTAATGTACATAGGTTCTATAAAATCTAAAATTTTCTCGATAATGATAATAATTCCTTAAGTGAGAGGGTTCCACATCTTTGAATGAGCTTAATGGGCTATATTGCAGGAGCATTTTATAAAGTTGGTGATGAATTTGAAGATTCTACTCTGTAATTCTATTCTTTGAACCATTGTTGACACCCTATTCTGGGTAGATATGAAAAAGATGCATTTGGGGTCAAGAAACCATTGATTAGCTTTGATGAGTGTTCATGGTCATGGATAAGTCTAGCCACAACGTCTTAAAACTTCCTTCAGCTCTAATCAATTGTCCTGAATTTTCCTTTTCTTTTTTTTTTGAAATCTTAAATGACCGTGAAATCAACGAATTTGTTTCGTTATCAGCTATCCTCAAGAATGTTCTTTTTGTCAAGTGCTTCTAATGATAATAGGTTGTGGACTCTTCATTCTTTTGGGTTTTTCTTTTGCCAATCATTTATTTATTTTGGGATAAGATCATTGATGAACCTAATTTTCCAATCATTGTCCCTCGTAAGTTCATTTGGAGTGCATATGTACTCCTGAGGGTGAAAGTGTTTGCATGGATCTTGGTTCATAAGAAGCTTAATACCAATGATATGGTTCAAAAGAGAAGGCAAAATTGTTGTTTACTCCCTCAATGGTTTGTCATGTGTAAGGGGGTTGAGTAGTGTGCTCATCTGTTTTTGCCCTATTACTTTGTCATTATGCTGGAGGGTGTTTCAGCTAACAGAGTTGAATTCGGATTTGGGTGGTACCTAGTGTTCACATGATTTGCATTGATTTGAGAGGTTTTGGATCGAGTGACAAAGCATATTACTCTGTCATTATGCTGGTGGGTGTTTCGGCTAACACAGTTGAATTCGGATTTGGGGGGTCCCTCCTAGTGTTCACATGCTGTGCATTGATTTTAGAGGTTTTGGATCAAATGACAAAGCTATGCTCTTTGGAGTTGTGTGAAAATTGGGGAGGTATATGTGACCAAATTTGTTATTAGCTTCTTTTTGGACTAGGGTATCTCCTTTTGAGTGGATTTCTTTATTTTTGTTTTCTAGGGATTGGATAGTTGCTTGTCACTAGTTATGGTTTTTGTATTTCTTTTATTTTTGTTTGGTGGACAGCTTCCTCACTTGATTATACTTTTCTATTCCTTTTATTAATAATATCTTTGTTGTTGCTGATAAAAATAACATGTGTATTTATGTATCTATGCAACTTTGTTTCTGTGTGCAAGTATATTTCTTCGTGGTTATGAGTTGGAGAAATTTTTATCTTACCTCTTTGTTCTGCAGTCAGTCCTTGTCACAATTGATCGCCATGAATGGTATGCCCCTCCTCAGATTTACAATCGTGATGACAGTACTGGTTTATGGACGGTAAAGCCTGCTTTGCCACCTGAATCTCCATTCTTGTCCCTTGGCAGGAATAAGGCTGAAAAAGCTCCTGCAAAACATACAGCTCCATTAGATGCTGGTGAGGCTAGTCTAATGGAGCATGTGCATCATGATATCAACCAGGAATCAACAGATGGTTCCCCTAGTATCGAAACTAGTTCTCAATATGTTGCTGTGGGATTACATTCTCATGATGACTCTGACGTTGGAACCAAAAAACGGCAAGTAGAAGAGGATTCATCTGCTGATAGCATTGTTGCTAACGGTTCCTTACATGAGCCTAGAGAAGAGAAGTTGGAAGACTCAACAAACTTAGAAAATACTATTTTAGGAGATTATCAAGGTGCAGCAGCCGTAGCAGCTAATGCTTCAGTAGCTGAGCGTGTTATAGAGCCTACTCTTGTGATGTTTGAGGTAATTTTATTGAGGATCCATATGATGTGTTGTTGTCATATCTGTTGCCTTGGTTAGTTTAGTTGTCTTTTGTTCCTGCTTGTGCCATCTCCAGTTTTGTTTATGGGCCCTGCTAACAACTGCCCAATGAGTGTTCGTTAGAACCACAATGGCAAAAAAGTTACAATTTCATTACACATTTCACATATTCCCATACACATATTATTTATACACTTTTCACATATTTCAATACACTTTTTAAGGGTGGTTTGGGATGTTGGATTTTTGGCTAAAGAGACCAAAAAGCCAAAAAAAGCTAAAGGCCCAAACGCTTGGGGTGCATAAAAAAAGCTGGCTATACCTGTGTAAAAAGACCAACGAATGAGTGTCTTGCTTTCTCTTATTAGTATAATCTTATGAGTACTAGCTCACCTGATGTGAAAACTTGCAGGTTCATGTACCTCCTTCATGCATGCTTGATGGTGTGCACTCACAACATTTTTTTGGAACTGGTGTTGTTATATACCATTCTCATAATATGGGATTGGTTGCTGTTGACAAAAACACTGTTGCGATATCCGTGTCTGATGTGATGCTTTCTTTTGCTGCCTTTCCAATTGAAATCCCTGGAGAGGTAAACTTCTAAATTTTGTTCAAGACTAATAACTGTTGTCATCTGTTGTGATTTAGCCACATACTTTTCCTACAGTTTTTTTTTTTTTTTCCTCCTCTTTTTTGATAAGTAAAGCAACTTCCACTGCAGGTGGTTTTTCTCCATCCTGTTCATAATTTTGCTCTTGTTGCATATGACCCTTCTGCTCTGGGAGCTGTTGGTGCCTCAGCAGTTCGTGCTGCTGAACTTCTTCCTGGTAGGCCTACTTTTTTTATTGATCCCTTGATTTCTGTTGATGAATATGGCATATTTTGGCCAGATTCCATTAAAATACTTATTTTGGGTGCAAGCGTTATTTTGTAAAAATAGGCATGAAGTGAAAAACCCAAGTATGGGCATGCGCTTTTAACTAAGAAACAAAATTTAACTGAACTGTCGATGGGACGTATGGAGAGAACATGGCTCCTATGTACATTTTGAGCCGAGGATTGTGAAATTTGTTGAGGAGATGAAGTTCCTAGAGAACTTATACAAGATGAGTAAGGTGAGGGGGAGATGAAAGGATGAGATTTGTATCCAAAACTAGGAAATTTGAGGTGTAGTCTTATTATGAATGCTTAGTGAGGGCGCAGTTTGGTGAAATTTTCTTGGAAAGGGATTTGGAAATCTAAGGCCCGTTTTGGAAATCGAATTTTGTTGTAATGTTGCTCGTTGCTTGATGTGGTGTATTTGGGGAATAGAAGACTCTAGAGTTGCTTTAAAGATTAAAATTTAAAGTTCTTGTTTGGTTGTGTTGAAGAGAGGGTTCGCCCTTCTCTTGAGAGTTATTTAGAGTTTGCTGATACTTTGTTGTATTAATGGTAATAGAAAGACAGATAAAACCTGAATTTATTCTTTTTCAGTTAGAGTGAACAGAATAGAAGAACTTTTGAGGGGAAAGAGATACTGTTTTTGAGAATTAAAAGCCTTTTTTGGGGTCTTATTTTGTATAGGTGGTGTCCTGGGGGGGTGAACCTATTTTTGGATTTTGTTGAAGTACTTCTGGAGTAGGAGTTCTTTGCATAACGATTTAAGCCTTTTGTATATGGATTCGGCACCTCCTTGGTGCCTTTTTTGATATAATAATTCTATTTTTACTAATAAATTTTATTTGTTTATATGTTTCAAAGTGCAGCGATGATATGTTATATTTAAGTTATTGATCATGTTAATGACAGCCCACTGGGATGTTAAGGTGGATAAAATACCTAAACTAGTTTCAATCTCACTGCACCTTTTGTTATTCATATACACTTTAAGTTATTGATCATATTCCTAACTTTCTTATATTTCTATTATTCTGTACACTTTTTACATGTGCATGGAGGTTAATGACCACCCATTGGGCAGTCATTAGCATTTTCCTTAAGTTATTTATCCCTTTCAATTGAAGATTTGATTGCATGACAGAACCTCCGCTGCGACGTGGAGATGTGGTAGTGGTGTAGTGGGTTAGGTTTAGTGGAGTAGGTTTAAGTGGGTGAAGTAGGTGGAGAGTATGTGGATTTAGTGGGTTAGGTTTAGTGGAGTAGGTTTAAGTGGGTGAAGTAGGTGGAGAGTATGTGGATTTAGTGGGTTAGGTTTAGTGGAGTAGGTTTAAGTGGGTGAAGTAGGTGGAGAGTATGTGGATTTAGTGGGTTAGGTTTAGTGGAGTAGGTTTAAGTGGGTGAAGTAGGTGGAGAGTAGGTGGATTTTAACAATTTTAGAGGTTTTGGATCAAATGACAAAGCTATGCTCTTTGGAGTTGTGTGAAAATTGGGGAGGTATATGTGACCAAATTTGTTATTAGCTTCTTTTTGGACTAGGGTATCTCCTTTTGAGTGGATTTCTTTATTTTTGTTTTCTAGGGATTGGATAGTTGCTTGTCACTAGTTATGGTTTTTGTATTTCTTTTATTTTTGTTTGGTGGACAGCTTCCTCACTTGATTATACTTTTCTATTCCTTTTATTAATAATATCTTTGTTGTTGCTGATAAAAATAACATGTGTATTTATGTATCTATGCAACTTTGTTTCTGTGTGCAAGTATATTTCTTCGTGGTTATGAGTTGGAGAAATTTTTATCTTACCTCTTTGTTCTGCAGTCAGTCCTTGTCACAATTGATCGCCATGAATGGTATGCCCCTCCTCAGATTTACAATCGTGATGACAGTACTGGTTTATGGACGGTAAAGCCTGCTTTGCCACCTGAATCTCCACTCTTGTCCTTTCTCATGAATAATGTTGAACAAGGTCTTTCAAACTATACAGTTCCATTAGATACTGGTGGGGCTAATCTAATGGAGCTTATGCATCAAGATATCAGTCAGGAATTGACCGATGGTATTTCCAATATGGAAACTAGTTCTGAACAAGTTGCCGAGGGACCAAATTCTCGAGACAACTCTGATGTTGGAACGAAAAAACGGCGAGTAGAAGAGGATTCATCTGCTGATAGCATTGTTGCTAACGGTTCCTTACATGAGCCTAGAGAAGAGAAGTTGGAAGACTCAACAAACTTAGAAAATACTATTTTAGGAGATTATCAAGGTGCAGCAGCCGTAGCAGCTAATGCTTCAGTAGCTGAGCGTGTTATAGAGCCTACTCTTGTGATGTTTGAGGTAATTTTATTGAGGATCCATATGATGTGTTGTTGTCATATCTGTTGCCTTGGTTAGTTTAGTTGTCTTTTGTTCCTGCTTGTGCCATCTCCAGTTTTGTTTATGGGCCCTGCTAACAACTGCCCAATGAGTGTTCGTTAGAACCACAATGGCAAAAAAGTTACAATTTCATTACACATTTCACATATTCCCATACACATTATTTATACACTTTTCACATATTTCAATACACTTTTTAAGGGTGGTTTGGGATGTTGGATTTTTGGCTAAAGAGACCAAAAAGCCAAAAAAAGCTAAAGGCCCAAACGCTTGGGGTGCATAAAAAAAGCCGGCTATACCTGTGTAAAAAGACCAACGAATGAGTGTCTTGCTTTCTCTTATTAGTATAATCTTATGAGTACTAGCTCACCTGATGTGAAAACTTGCAGGTTCATGTACCTCCTTCATGCATGCTTGATGGTGTGCACTCACAACATTTTTTTGGAACTGGTGTTGTTATATACCATTCTCATAATATGGGATTGGTTGCTGTTGACAAAAACACTGTTGCGATATCCGTGTCTGATGTGATGCTTTCTTTTGCTGCCTTTCCAATTGAAATCCCTGGAGAGGTAAACTTCTAAATTTTGTTCAAGACTAATAACTGTTGTCATCTGTTGTGATTTAGCCACATACTTTTCCTACAGTTTTTTTTTTTTTTCCCCCTCTTTTTTGATAAGTAAAGCAACTTCCACTGCAGGTTGTTTTTCTCCATCCTGTTCATAATTTTGCTCTTGTTGCATATGACCCTTCTGCTCTGGGAGCTGTTGGTGCCTCAGCAGTTCGTGCTGCTGAACTTCTTCCTGGTAGGCCTACTTTTTTTATTGATCCCTTGATTTCTGTTGATGAATATGGCATATTTTGGCCAGATTCCATTAAAATACTTATTTTGGGTGCAAGCGTTATTTTGTAAAAATAGGCATGAAGTGAAAAACCCAAGTATGGGCATGCGCTTTTAACTAAGAAACAAAATTTAACTGAACTGTCGATGGGACGTATGGAGAGAACATGGCTCCTATGTACATTTTGAGCCGAGGATTGTGAAATTTGTTGAGGAGATGAAGTTCCTAGAGAACTTATACAAGATGAGTAAGGTGAGGGGGAGATGAAAGGATGAGATTTGTATCCAAAACTAGGAAATTTGAGGTGTAGTCTTATTATGAATGCTTAGTGAGGGCGCAGTTTGGTGAAATTTTCTTGGAAAGGGATTTGGAAATCTAAGGCCCGTTTTGGAAATCGAATTTTGTTGTAATGTTGCTCGTTGCTTGATGTGGTGTATTTGGGGAATAGAAGACCCTAGAGTTGCTTTAAAGATTAAAATTTAAAGTTCTTGTTTGGTTGTGTTGAAGAGAGGGTTCGCCCTTCTCTTGAGAGTTATTTAGAGTTTGCTGATACTTTGTTGTATTAATGGTAATAGAAAGACAGATAAAACCTGAATTTATTCTTTTTCAGTTAGAGTGAACAGAATAGAAGAACTTTTGAGGGGAAAGAGATACTGTTTTTGAGAATTAAAAGCCTTTTTTGGGGTCTTATTTTGTATAGGTGGTGTCCTGGGGGGGTGAACCTATTTTTGGATTTTGTTGAAGTACTTCTGGAGTAGGAGTTCTTTGCATAACGATTTAAGCCTTTTGTATATGGATTCGGCACCTCCTTGGTGCCTTTTTTGATATAATAATTCTATTTTTACTAATAAATTTTATTTGTTTATATGTTTCAAAGTGCAGCGATGATATGTTATATTTAAGTTATTGATCATGTTAATGACAGCCCACTGGGATGTTAAGGTGGATAAAATACCTAAACTAGTTTCAATCTCACTGCACCTTTTGTTATTCATATACACTTTAAGTTATTGATCATATTCCTAACTTTCTTATATTTCTATTATTCTGTACACTTTTTACATGTGCATGGAGGTTAATGACCACCCATTGGGCAGTCATTAGCATTTTCCTTAAGTTATTTATCCCTTTCAATTGAAGATTTGATTGCATGACAGAACCTCCGCTGCGACGTGGAGATGCAGTCATTCTTGTGGGGTTAAGTAGGAGCCTGCAAGCTACATCAAGGAAATCTGTTGTCACCAACCCTTTTGCTGCTTTGAATATTGGGTCTGCCGATTGTCCACGCTTCAGAGCAACCAATATGGAAGTCATTGAGCTTGATACTGGTAACTTGGAGTTTTTACTGCTTGAAAGGAATCTTAATTGTTCAAATGTTGATTGTATTTTGTATTCTTTTTTCTTTTTTTTCTTTTTTTGTTTTATTTTCCCTCCGTCTCCCCCCAATAAGTTTGTCATGACATTATCTCATGCGAGTTTCAGACTTCGGTGGTACATTTTCTGGTGTGCTAACTGATGAGCATGGAAGGGTTCAGGCTATCTGGGGAAGCTTTTCAACTCAGGTTTGTCATGTTTGCTCTTCCTTGTGACCTGTCTCATCGAGAAAAATTGTTCTGATTTTTCCATTCCCAATTACAGCTAAAATATGGTTGTAGTTCATCAGAAGATCATCAATTTGTCAGAGGTATTCCAGTTTATACAATCAGCCAAGTCCTTGACAAAATCATATCTGGTGGAAATGGATCAAATCTTCTCATAAATGGCATCAAAAGGCCAATGCCTCTTGTCAGGATCTTAGAGGTTGAATTTTATCCTACTTTGCTTTCCAAGGCCCGTAGCTTTGGATTGAGTGACAAATGGGTACAGGTACACTTTCTTCCTTGCAGAAATCTATTTCTTTTTTCTCTTTTATGCATTCAAGAGGGTTGCATTTTGCTTTGGTATCTAGAAATGCTTTGGAGTTAGAGTTTCGCTAATTGACACCATCTAGGAATGTCGTAGGCTAAGAAGCATGGATACAAACAAGTGACACAACACAGACACTCCGACATGATAATTTCAAAAAATGTTGAACATGACACGTGGGGAACATGTGTAAAATATATAATTTTATATATTTATCATGTGTTATATATATGCATATTTTTTTTTTTAAATTAATAAAAATATACACCACAACACAGATTTTGAAAGTTTAAAGCAGAATAGATTATATATCTACGTAGTTTTTTTTTTAACATTAGATCCTAAGTCATTTTGTTTAAACTTGTAATGTGTGTTATGTATGTCTAATCGATAGATACATGTTCCCAAGTATCCCAAGTCTAAAAATATAAAAAAAAATAGTTAGACATGTTTGGGAGTGTGTTAGATATGATACTTGTCAAAAGTGTCCATTGAGTGTCTAGAAATGTCCAATGAGAGTCGGATACGATATGTCATCTTCTTAGAATTGTCCATACTTCTTAGGTTACATTAGTAATTACTAGTTACTCTAGAGAAACTTGAAATCTTTTCAATGTCCATTGTGTATTCGATGAGTGAAAGGCAGTGACAGATTATGATAAGCAGTACTTGCTTTCACGGGACTCCTTGTGTGTGTGCACGTCACATGTGTGTTTGTATCCGGACTTGATTATTATGACCACTTTCCTTTTGTATTAATTTCTCATTTGTGCAAAAGCTCCTTTCATTATTTGTATTTATAATTAATTGTGGATAAGATTTTTTCGACACCAATTGAGGAATTATATATGGCTGGGATATAAGGAACATAAAGGAATAACTAAAAGAAACAACGAGGTAAATGAATGAAAGAAAACAAATCTGCCAGGCAAAATAAAGTAACTCAAGCCAGCAGAGGCGGTGTGCAACCATAGATTGGTTGTTTGATAATTTCTCCAAGAACAGCTTGAATATGATCTGAGATTTAAAATTTACACTGGGGTGTGATGATATTTACCATTATAGATGTTCAAATTCTGTGTCTACCATGCTCCTCTTAGTTTACGAACAACTGATCCACTCACAAATCTGTTTCCTTGACTATTGTTCAAGTGAGATTATTTGCTAGAACATGCTCGGAATATGCAGATATTTAGATGAGTGGTTGGGATACAAATAAGGGATTGAGTGTTGCGTATTGAAAACTTGGGAGTTTGCTATAATATGCAAAGAAGGAAGAGGCAACTTCGATGGTTTCGGTCATGTACACTGGGGTCCTCTGAAAAGCAGGTACAACATAGAATACAGATGGATGTGCTCAAGGAGACCCAGGGGAATATTCAGTGACGACACAGGAATTTGGCTGTATGGCTATTTTGGCAAATTGGCGGAATGCACAAGCCTAGAGGCAGAGCTGTGGGGCATTTACAGAGGCCTTACAATCATTTTGGAAAAAGGTTATGTTGATGTGATGATAGAAACGGATTCAACCAAAGCAGTAGAGCTGACGCAGACAAAACCTGCAGTAAATGGTGCACTAAGAAGCGTTGTGGAGGATGTGAAACATCTAATCCGTCGGTGCCGATGTTCAATTCAGCTTATAGTGAGGGAGGGCAACATGTGTGCTGATAAGCTGGCCAATCTAGGTGCTAATCAAGATGAACCTTTGCTTGTGATGGAAGATGCTCCAGATGATGTTAGGAGCCTGGTGGTGACTGATCTTTTGGGAAGAGAGTATCAAAGATCTTAGATCTTTGATTTTTCTTGTTTTTCTGCTGTTTGTGTTGTTTTAAGCATTTCCGAAGCACCAAAAAAAAAGAAGAAAGGCTCAGGCAGAGAAACCTATGAACGGATGACATGTATACAGCAGATTTTGTTTGAGGACATGGAATGCATTGAACCACTAAACAATTTCTGATTTTGGTTATGATTTACTCGTTGAAATGAACGTAACTGATGGCTCTATATTCAAGAGTTCCATCGTGGCTGAGATTGGAAAATGGAGGAAGGTTTGGATTTGTTGCCTATCTGTGGGTGTGTCTGCACACCATGTATTCTAATTTTTGTTATGAACTGAAATTTACTTAACGGAGTTGGATGGTCACATATGATTTGTGTTGCTTACTTCATACTAAGGAAATGGGTCATTGGAAATAATGATTCCTCGACGACTAAGAAGTACGGACACATGAAATTTTGTGGGTTGTTTTTGTGGGGATTCATATATTTTATTTTCTAGTTAAGTCCTTCTTAACTTTTTTTATTTTAAAAAAAAAAAAATTGTGAGGCCAAGGGGTTGGTTGTGTGGATGCGAGTAGCAGTAGTAGGGGTAATTTGTACTTTCCGAATCTTTCTCGATGCATGTCATCTTCCTGTACCTTTAATTTCATGCTGTTAATGAAATTTTTCTTTGCTGATCAAAAAAAAAAAAGGGCAAATTACATATACCCCCCTCGAGGTTTGGCTAAATTACAGATACCCTATGAGATTTGAAAAATTACAAATTCCCCCCTGAATGCTATATTTGTATAAGAAATTAGGGGGTAATTTGTTATGAAATATAAATCTCAGGGGGCAAATTGTTATGAAAATACAAACCTTAGGGGGCAGGATGTAATTTCTGAAACCTCAGAGAGTATCTGTAATTTAGCTAAGCCTCGAGGGAGGTATATGTAATTTGTCCAAAAAAGAAAAAATGAATACGATACAAACACGCCAGCACGGCAATTTTTTAAAAAATGCAAGTCACAACAAGCGGGGGACACACAAAATATATAATTATATATATTTATTATATGTCATATATATAAAATATATCATTCTAAGACAATAAATAAATTCAATATAACACTAGTTTTTATAAATTGACATTAATTTTCTTTTATCATTGTATTCTAAATTATTTTGTTTAAATTTATAATTAGTTTCATGTGTGTTTGATCAATGGACACGTGCATTTAAGCAATGGACACATGTGTCTTCCAAGTATCCGGATTTAAACAATTTTTAAAAAAATAGGAAATGTTTGAATAAATGTCGGACACGTGTCGGAAAAGTGTTCGGTTTCCAACACGGACACGGCACAGACACGCCAACTTGTTAAAAGTGTCCATGCTTCTTAGCTTGATGAGGTCGTGTTTCCCCACTACCAAAGGGGAAAAAAGAAGGAAAAAGTGCTATGTTTTTATGTTGCTTCTCAAATCTGTCATAAACAATCATATGATCATCACTTGGTAGTTCTCTTACTTGCTTATTGTGTTTGGATTGTATTTAAAAACACTTATGCTTGTAAAATATGGTAAAATGCTTGCACGTTTGTATTTTTGTAGTTACTCATTACTTTGTGGATGTTGTAATGTAGGCTCTTGTTAAGAAAGATCCAATTAGACGTCAAGTCTTACGTGTTAAAGGTTGTTTTGCTGGATCAAAGGCTGAAAACCTATTAGAACAAGGTGACATGGTATTGGCAATTAATAAAGAGCCAATCACATGCTTTCGTGACATTGAAGATGCTTGCCAAGCATTAGACCAATGTGATGAAATTGATGGGAAGCTTAACATGACTATTTTCCGTCAGGTGGGCGGACTATCTTTGCTGCATTTGGTTTTCATTTTTCTCTCTCAAATTTATGTGTTTTTCTTTTTTTGGAAGTCCCATTTTATGTATCCAAGTTCCAAAATTCAGAAAATTTGATCATCACTTTTTCAATATTACCCTCCTTCAAATTTATATTTTAGTGCATGCCCAATTCCCAAATAAAGTTTGTCAAATGGGACAAATGGCATTTTTGTGAACCTATCATTCAAAAAAGCTTCCTTTAAAGTGTGTGCGTGGTCAACCATGTCTCACATCATATTAGTCACCAATTGCTCATATCAAAGGAGAACTGTATAGAAAATCATCTTCATGCATGGTCTTTATGGTCTGGCAGGGACGGGAAATCGAAATTCTTGTTGGAACAGATGTGAGGGGTGGGAATGGCACAACACGAGTTATAAATTGGTGTGGGTGCATTGTCCAGGATCCTCACCCGGCAGTGCGCGCTCTCGGATTTCTTCCTAAAGAAGGCCATGGTGTGTATGTGGCAAGGTGAGGGTTTTGGTCTTACTTTTATGCGAAGGCTTTTATTCATTCCAAGATTTCCAAACTGGTCAACTCAAACTTTCACTTTGTGGCCCTTTTTGATGTCAACGCTGAAGCATAGGCAATAACTTTAGCTGGACCAATTTTTACATTTATTCATGTGAAATTAGGAGCAGATGCTTATATAACCAACATCTCCTATGTTAATTATAACCACTGAGTCTACTTTTTCAAATATTTTGCTATTCTTAAAACTTATGGTAAGTTATAAAATTTTCCAGATGGTGCCATGGGAGTCCAGTACATAGATATGGTTTGTATGCTCTTCAGTGGATTGTTGAAGTCAATGGGAAACTAACTCCAGATTTAGATGCTTTTGTTGATGTGACAAAGGTATGTATATCATCCCGTCTTTACCTGAGACATGCTTGTGGACTAGAATATTCATTTTTCTTTTTCCTTTCTTTCCTTCTTCTTTTTCTTTCTCTCTCTCTTTTTTTTTTTTTTTTTTTAGTCAGAAATTTGAATGGCAAGATGCTTCAGAAAATGATAGTTCTTCCCTTATTTACTTTTAAAGAATTACATGCCCAAAAAAAAAAAAAAAAAATTTGAACCATCAAACTCTTTGATAACTACCATGGTAAATTATGCCAAAAAAGTGGTTTTAGCTTTCTACTTTAGGATGGGAACGGTATCTGAATTTAGGCCAAGTTTGGCTACTCCAATATAATCCATCTTTTTATTTTTTTTTATCTTTTTTCCATCACATCACTTCTCTACTTTTCTGCACATCTTTTCATAAAAAGATAAAAAGTACACTTATTTAGGTCATCCCAAACAGCCCCTTAGTATTTTGGAGACTTCATGCACCCCTTAGTATTTTGGAGACTTCATGCACGAGGTACACATTGGAGGTGTTTCCTAGTTGTAAGGCATGAAGGACTGCCATGGTTGTTCATTAGGCCTGAACTTGAGAGGCCTTCTAAATCTTGTAATTATCAAGCCATGTATGCTTTCTGTCTGCAAATACTAGAAATTCACATGCAGTGGGGGAGGGGAGACCGGGTTGGGTGTGTCACAATGTCCATCAATTCGGACGGAATTTGTAATGGTAGCAGTTTAGTCCGAAGCTAATATTTTGTCTATTTTTGGATGTTAGGTGTGAAGTGCCCTAGGGCCAAATTACTCGAATGCAGAATGGTTTTTCCGTTTTAATTTTATATGATCACGGACATACAACTACACATTTAAAGTTCATTTTCCTAAAGAGTCATTTTTTGGCTAAGATGTCAGAACTATAAAACGTAGGGCCATCATACGTGGAAAATATTTAATCTTCAGATCATAAATTTGTATCTTTTTATTAACAGGAAATAGAGGATGGGGAGTTTGTTCGGGTGAGGACGGTCCACTTAAATGGGAAGCCTCGGGTACTAACATTGAAGCAGCATTTGCACTACTGGCCCACATGGGAGGTGAGGTTTGATGCCGACACTGCAATGTGGCGGCGTAAAATAATCAAATCATTAGACCGTGGTATTGCATGATATACATACTCTTCTGATTATATCGGGTAAAAAATTGTTTTGAGAATTGGGATTTGTGCTGCCTGTAGTAGATGTTAAATATACCAGGAGAGGCTCGTATCAGGCAATACTTGCTTAAATGTAATTGGCGATTGTCTGGGAGGGAGTATTGATTTATTATTTGAAAAATTACATTTGAATGATATCACAAGTTAAATTTGAATGATTGAAATACATAAAATAAAATATTCAGAATTTTTCAGAACTATAGACCATTTGACATTTTACTTGAACTAGCATTTTGTATTGTCTAAGTTGGTGCCATGGCCACATCTTTGAGGTTAGAATTTTTTTGGTCAAATGCATAAAGAAAGATGGGTTTGTTAAGCATTTTATATTGTCCAAGTTGGTGCCATGGCCACGTCTTTGAGATTAAAATTTTTGGTCAAATGCATAAATAAAGCTGGGTTTGTTATGCAGAAAACTATAATAAACAACTCGACATATATACTGAACTTTTTTCTTCATACCTTAACCGTTGTTAGATCCTTCTACAGCTTAGAATCCATAGAACTTGATGAATACACAGATAAACAACTCCTCATATATATTGAACTTTCTTCTTCACATCTTAAACGTTGTTAGATCTTTTACAGCCTAGAATTCATAGAACTTAATGAAAACACTGATAAAATCAAGCACGAAAACCAGACTGTAAGTCATGGAGTTGAACTTGTGGCTGACGAACAGTGTGGTCAGCGGTGGAATCAGAGTTTATTAACAGCGGTGGAATCAGAGTTTATTAACAGCGGGTTCAATTAATTGTCAATATATTATATGGATATTAAATTATTTTTAAAAATGCAAAAAGCTAAAAACATTTCATTTCATTTTTTATTTTGAATTAAATTTCCAGTAAGAATCACATTTTAGAGAACATTTGGATGAAATTCAAAAAAGTCAATTAATTGTTTTAATTTATTCCATGATTTTACAAATTATTAATTAAAATATTAAATAAATCCCAATTATCTATAAAACCCACAACTTACCATGTAGGCCTATGAGTGTGGTTGGATGCAATACCAAGGAAAATAAGGTGACAAACAGTTAGGGGGTGGAGGGGAGACTGATGGTTCGTGGGTTGCGGTGGTAGAGGAGGGTTTTCAGATGGAGGTGAGGGTGGTAATATGGTGTATTATATTGTATGGGGGTGGTAGTGTATAAACCCTAGGAAGAGCCTCAAGGGTAGGTGGGCACAAATTGGTGGTGATGAAGTCAAAGTGGCTACCACCGAGGGTAGTGACCCAGTGGTGAAGGCATTGTCTTCCCACAGCCATGAGTCAAGTTCAACTCTGGGGGGGTGCGAAAAATCTTGAGTTTTCCAAGGGCTCTTTTCGGAGACCTCGCACTGTACTCCAATCGAAACTTGTCCGTGGCTGGGGCGGTTGATGAGCTTCACTAGTGCCTCGGTGATAGGTCCCTTCCTATGGGTTGTGTTAAATCAGGTTAGCAACCGGCTATTCTGGGGCCTGGACTTACGGATGTAGTGATGACACCTCAGAACATCTTTTTTTTATAGTTCAAAAAAGAAAAAAAGAAGTCAAAGTGGCTGGTGGTGTCAGCAGTCAGTCGTAGGGGCACGAATGAGGAGAGTTTCACGCCGTTATATTCAATATATAAATGTATGTAGTCTTATTCCAAAGTGTTTTTGGAAATAATTTACATAGATTTGTTTATAGCTAAGGTTTCATTCTTTCTTCACCTTACTTCCAGGATTCTTTTCTTCCATAAACACTAGTGTTTCATTTAGGGTGGCAAGCGGTTTGGTTTGGTGGTTGGGTTGAGGAAAAGTTTAACACCCAACCAAAATAGATTGTATGTTTTGATTCGGTTTTATCAGTTTTGTCAATTTAGAATAGAGAAGGGATTCACATAAAGTTTTATAAAGGTTTTGCAAAAACTTACAGAATCTCAAACTATGAATAAAGAAGGAAAAATAGTAAAAATTGTTCTGTAATTGATTTTATTCCTAGTTTTTATTACAAAATATTCATTATTAGTCATTTATTTTCTAATACTAAAATAATAAAATATAAAAATATTTAAATATAATTTTTTGTTAATTTAGTTTGTATTGATGTAAAAAATTTAAAACAAAAATGACTTTAAAAATTGTTCGTACACCTCTAGTTTGGTCCATTGGAAATGGAATAATTATTCCTTAATTTTAAATGGTGAATGATGATTTTATTTGTAATATTTCTTTTTTAATAATTTTTTCTAATGAACCAAACACTTTCTAGGGAGAGTTTTGACTCTATTTTTTATTATTTATTTTTTTATAACTAAAAGCCAAAACTAAATCTTGTTTAACAAAAGGGTGAAAAGTTAATTTTATCAGTCCTAATTGCGATGAATGCTTTTCTTTCTTTCTTTCTTTCTTTTTCTTTTTTTTTTTCCCTGCTTTTCGATATTTTAAAATTATTATGTGGTGTTTTAAAAAGTTAGTAAAAAACTAACTTCTTGGTTTTTTTTGTGCCTTTTTGAATTTTTTTTGTATTAAAAAAGCTGACTTTTTATGACTTTTTTGTTAAAAAAAAAAACGAAAAAACGAAAAAATTAATTTTTTACCAAAGTTCCCAAAACACTCCGATCGAAGTTCAAATTAGGACTATACCCATCCGATGGTTGACAATTAGGACTTTTACGTTCTAGCAACATGTCACTATCTTCACTAAACAACATACTGGAGATATGCTTGAGTGTGGTTGTACTTCTAATTTTTAAGACTTTAGAATTTAGGCATAGTATTTCTAAAATTTTAAAACGATAATTAGAGTTTCAAACGCAACAATAATCTAATTTACTAATTTGTTAATATAAAAAATATTAGCAAAAAAACAAAAGGTATACTGAAACAAATTTATGGATAATGAACAATGATGACAATGAAACCAAAAGTAAGAATCTAAGCAAGATGACAAATTACGAGTGTCTATCAAACATTAGAGACATTGAATTAATCAAAGTGTAACACCAATTTAATACTCAAAGATAGACCTACCTATTACGCACAAGCCAGAAATGATAAATTGTGATGATGTATCAAACATTAGACATTGAAGCAAAATGAAGTTGACTTCTCTTTTATGTTGTTATTGAAAATACCAAAAATAAAAAATAATTTTGTATCACTTTGTAGCCATTACAAATTTTCTCTGTGTCTCAATTTCCCCATTGCTTTTTGGTTCCTTCTTAGACAACAAATCCAAGTTAATCCATACACTCCCTCCTCATGTAAAATTAAAAATCAATGACAACAATAATGGCAAAATCAAGCTTGAAATCCAGACCGTTGATCGAAGAATACGAGTTGCCGATGAAAAGCCCAGTGGCGGAGGAGGCTGCCTGTAGTAAAATGGAAAATAAGGCAATATAGGGTCTGGAGGAGGAGGTGCATTATTAAAATACCACGGTGGAGGGTAATATGGTAAGTAACCACTTGGCGGTGAATAGTACTCGGAGGGAGGGGGATAGTAGTACACTGAGCTTGAGGGTGGTAGTGGTGGTAGACAAACCGTTGGCACTGGTGGAGAAGGAGGCAGTGGTGGTGGCGGGTAATTAGAAGTGGCAATGGGTGGAGGGAGACAAGGGTAGGGGCACACGTAAGGATACGTATCATCTGCCCTTGAACTTGCCAGAAAATTGAGTAATACTATGATGAAGAAAAGGTTAGAGAGGCCTTGGCAGAGATTTTTGGCCATGGTTTGAGAAATGGACTAGGAAGTGAGAAGAGGAGGAGAGAGGAGAGGACTATAAGAAAATAAAGAAGTGGGTTATGGGGAGGTGTACTGTGACCTCTTAGGAAGGTGCAAGCTTTAGTCACATGGTTGGAATAATTGAATTATTATTAGAAACTTTGAAAGCAACCTCTATGTGTAGACTTACTGTTTAGGCATTGGATTGGGGAGTGTAAAATAGAAACTTCTGCTTTTTTGGGGTAGTGTCCTATTGAAAGGGTCAAGAACTAAGGATGGTGTACCTGGCCCATAGTGCTCAATATGAGCAATTTATCAATGTTGCACACAGTATTGAATAATTTTTTCTTCAATGTAAATTATCGATGTTTTGAACCATCATAAGGATAGAACATTTCACCTATGATAACCTCTAGTTAATTAATAGATTAGCTCATTAGATAAAAATTTCTGTACCTAATGTCGAGATATCAAAATTAATTTTTCCTCCACTTATGTGTATATCTTTCCTTTTATATTAGTTTGTCCAAGTTTATACATCTTTGCTCCTTGACATTCCAACTAAAAAAATGAGGTAACAGTTGAAAACTCCTAAAATCAAGTGATGAGTCATAGGAGATCAATTTACAAATGAGAACGGTGCATAGGTACCAAACTATTTAATTGATAATTTCATTTTGTATCTTAATCATTTGAGTTACATGCATTGCATGTTATTGTATTGGTGAAAATATACCTCACACAATTTGGTTATACTCTTTTAAATGCTTTAATTTAACACCTATAATTGTGAATGATCCCAAACCCATTTAAAGAATTAAGTATGAATAATTCTTTTGACAGACTCATTGTCAACAAGCCTAGTTTAAAATTATGTTACCTAATTTTTTGTTTTTACTCACCAGGACCTCCCCCTCTCTTTCTCAATGAAGATGCTGGTTTGAGTGGTTTTAATTTTTTTTTTTTTTTTTTTTTTAAGAGTGATGATATAAAGTGTACAAAATAAGTTGACTTTTAATATAAACTTTGAAACAAAATCTTTAAAAAATATCTATTATATTTACAAAATGTCAAGTGATATCATTCTTATACTAAAATTTTTTTTTTTTTTTCCCTAAAATTGGGGATCTCAAAAACTAATAAGAAGTACAATAAGCAACACCTATAACCAAACAATTGGGCAATCTAATTGCCGGCAAATTAAATGTCATTTCTTCAATACTCTTGATAAGAGGACGTTCAAATCTTGTTGAAAGTCATGAAGATGAATAGATTGAGAATTTGTAGGCTAATTAACGACATGAGCTCTCTACCTCACTCATTTTTTCTTAGAATAAGTTATTTTGTCTCTTTGTATTTATTTTTATGAAAACATTTTGTAAAAGTCTATACATAGGCTTGTAGGCTTTGCAAAGTTTTGACCGTATTTGTGTGATGCTTGTCAACAAAGTAGATG